GATCTGAGCTTGTGGGACTTCACCGACTCTGGACAGACAGCTAGGACGCCAGTCTGGGAGCGACCTAGGCTCTCTTCATCTGGCTGACAGTTGTGTAGCTTGGTCTTTTGTGGCAGACACCCAGGACCAGGACATGTCCCTGACTCATGAGCTGGCTCTTTCGAACTTATTCCCTACGGTGGATGCCTCACCCATCCTTCATGCAGAGGGAGGAGCTTGGTCCTGCCTCAACTTTTGATATGCCATGCTTTGTTGACTCCCATGGGAAGCCTTACCCTTTCTGAATAGAGACAGAGGAGTAGTGGAATGGGGGGATAAAATGGAGGCGGTGGGGGGGGAACAGGAGTAGAGGGGAGAGGGGAAACTGTGGTTGGTATGCGAAATAATTTTTTAAAAAAGAAATGATAAAAAAAGAAATCTCAGTGTTCTAGAAGGTTTTGGGCTATAGCCACGGCAGGAAATAATAGAAATTTTTGACATTTTAGAACCTCTAAGGTAGCCAATTTCTTTGGACATTCTTTCAAAAAGAGAGTGTGTCAGAAAAAAATCTTTCAATAGTTTCATTGTTGTACCTGCTCTAATAATCTAAGGGGAGCTAGGGAAGATGGCTTATGCTTAGCAAAATAATCATAACAGAGGTAGGAATGCAAATTGATGTGGAATGGAAAATTGACTGTATTACACCAAGAGGCCACAGCCAGCAGAAGCCTTTGCTGCTTTTATAAACAGGGCTCTGGCTGCATCCCTTTCCTCCCTGACCCGAGGTGTCTGGATTTCAGTGGACCGTCGTCGCTGACACCCCGTGGTTTCCTTAGTTTTGGGCAGAATGCAAGCATTGCTCATCTATGGTGATCTCAGCCCTGACTGAAACCTCTGACCATATTTGGGCCTCTGTAATGCTCACTCCATCAACAGAAATGCAGCCGAGCAGCAGCAGGCAGCAGGCAGCAACCACAGCCAACACAGAAAGCAAAAAAAAAAAAAAAAAAAAAAAAAAAAAAAAAAAAAAAAAAAAAAAAAAAAAAAAAAAGGGAAGGTGGGAGAGGGAAAAAGATGAAAAAAGGGCGGACAGCCAGAGATAAAGTAATATGCTGAGTCCCACTGGAGAGACAAGAACACCCTACTCAGGGGTACAGATGGGAGTGGGGAGACCAACTTAAGGACAAGAAAGACAGGAAGAGTCTTGAGCCTAATATGTGATTATCCGTCCACATCGGTACATTAATATAGAATATGTGGGTATCCTCAACCCACTCCACATCAAAAAATAAAATAAATAGCATACACAAACCAACGTAATGGCAGCCCCAAAAAGACCCGAACCCCCATTGGCACAGAGTGTGGACATGGTGATTTGGTTTGTGTAGTTTGTGCAAAGAACATGAGACATTAATGAGTTTGATTACATCCACACCTCTTAAACTACAGAGATCCTGTCTCACTTTTACTGGGAATTTCAGCTCTCATGTGAGAAGTTCTAAGCGGTACCCCAACACTTTTGTTTAGCTCAAAGTGCCTACCTGGTTGTATTTTTTTTTAATGTTGTTGTTTTTTCTGCTTTTATTTCTTACTTTTTTTTTTTATCAGAACAGGGTTCAATTTTCTGGCATGAATTCTTTCCCTGGAAACATACCCTGCAGTGCTCAAACTCTCTAGCTATGATCCCCTCAAGTTTGACTGACTTGCCATTTTCTGATGCTGGAACGAGTTTTTTAGAGGAAAATCATGGTATAACACCCCCCCCCCCCCACACACACACACACACACACACACACACACACACACACACACACACACACACGTGCCCTGGTAAGAACCTTGAGTGTTGGGGAGTTTCCAAAAGGACACTCCAAGAAACTACTGGGGTTTTGTCTCTTTCCTTATGATGATGTATGACTTCCATGATCTATTTGTTATAATACTGCCCCGATGTAAAATACTCATACAGCATAAATAACTCCTCCCCATGATACCCTAGAACTTTCCAATCTGGAAATCTGGCCTGAGCTCCCTGCTTTAAATAAACCACAGACAGATTTTTCCAGGGGAAGACAGCAAGTTCCTATCCAGCTAAAGCAGTACTTTTTACTATATTTATTCATTCTTAGTATGCCTGGCTACATGGATTTGGCAGATATTTTGATGCCATATTGTTTGTTGTGCAAAAAAGTGCTACTACTCTCACATTTTTCAGTGTTGTGTCTTCTCTCCTTGTTCTAATGTATTGCTTTTTGCTTTGTATTTTATTCTTCTTGGTACTATTATTGTCTTTTCTATGTATTTTAGTAGCATTTACATGCTAGCTTCTTCCAGCCTTTTCTTTTTTCTTTTTTCTTTTGACAAGAGTCTCACTCTGTAGCCCAGGCTTGCCTCAAGCGTCATGGCCTCCTGTCTCAGCTTCCTGAATGCTGGGATCACAGGCATAGCCACCACCAAGCCTGGCCTCAGTGTCATTCTGGCATAAGCGTATCTCTCATACACAGCATATACTTGGGTTTTCATTCTTTTACAGTAAATAATTATCTCTTTGATGTTCTTAAGATAATTATTTTCATTCCTTTTTTTGTCTTGATTTTTTGTAGTAAGATATACATAAATTAGGTTTTTTTTAACCTTGTGTAAGTGTACAGTTTAGTACTTTAAAGTCATAATATGCAACTGTCACCACCACTCAGCTCCATAACTCCTGACACATGGTAAAACCTACCTTCATGTTCCAACTCCCTACTTCTCTTTTCCCCAGCCTTTGAAGACACTTTACTTTCCGACTTTTTGGTTTTGCTTTAATCTAAGTGCTGATGGTAAGTGAGATAATAAAGTGTCTCTGGAACGTACCTCACTCAGCATGATGTTGTCAAGTTCCATCCATATTGTATCATAAGCCGGAACAGCCTTCCTTCCCAAGGCCCAATGGTATTTGATTATATGTAAGCACTATGCAATGATTTTCTGTTTATCTCTTGATGAACACTTGGTATGCATCCCCGTGTTAACCTAGGCTGCTATAAACATGAGTGTATAAATATCTGTTCAAGGGGCTGGCGAGTTGGCTCATCAGTTAAGAACAATGGCTGCTCTTGTGGAGGACCAAGGTGGGATTCCCACACCCACAAGTGACTCATAGCAGTCTGTAACTCCAATCCTAGGGCATTTGATACCTTCTTTTGTCCCTTTTGGCACCAGGCACAAATGTGAAGCACATATATACATGCCGGCAAAACACCCATGCAGATATAAAATAAATATTTTAATAATAAATATTAGAAAAGCAGACATCTTTGCAAGTTCTTGTTTTTAATCATCTTAGGTGCTAGCCAGAGGTAGAATTGCTAGTTCCTAAGATTAGCTGTCACTTAAGGGGCTTATTTAACTCATTCATGTTTAGAGATTATGAATGGATCTGCCTTATATTCCTTCCACTTTAATTCAGATATTTAAATTTTTATTATTAGTGGTGTGTGTGTGTGTGTGTGTGTGTGTGTGTGTGGTGTGGCCATGTGCTGTGGCACTCGTGTGGAGGTCAGAGGGCAGGTTTGGGCAGTTGATTCTCTTCTTTACCTTTGGGTAGTTTTCATGTATCAAACCCAGGTCAGTAGGCAACTAGTCCTCTATGTGCTGGGCCCATCTCACCAGCCCCCTTTGTTCATATATTACACTCATGTATTTACTGGCATATTCAATAAATATATTACACTCATGTATTTACTTCTATATTCAACAAATATTTTCCTCACTCTCTTACTCTGGGAAACAGGATCTTTGGAGACTGCAGATGAGTTTTGGTTGTAACCATGGTGATGCCGACAGCCAGCCCAAGTGCACCATTAGAAACAATATCTGAAAGGAACCTGTCTTCAAGTCCACAAAGGCAGACTTCGTGACAAAGCTTTCTGATTAGTGACTGCCATTTGCACTAGGTAGGAGTCAGCTTGATTTTGAATCATAGCCCCTCCCTCCACATTCACTTGCTGTGTGGGTTTGAGTATTTAATTAGCCTCTGTGCCTGCTAATGATTGAAGAGCTAGCTCACCTGGAGCAGGAAAGCATTTCTCCCATGGATCTAGGCTCAGAGAAGGGTCTGAGCCATGTCTATAATATATATATACAATAATAACATGCATCTCCTTCACTTTGTAGCTGCTTCCTTTTCAGAGCTGGGGTCTGGTTGGTATGCAGAAGGTATGTGAGCTATGTAATCTGCTTGTCATCATGAGAGGAGGCAAGTGGCAGGCCGTTGGTTGAAGCACATCCGGAGGCCTGTGGTGGGCCTTGGAATTCCTAGATAAGGAAGTGCTAAGCAGTCTGCAGGCTTCTGCCTGGAGAGGCAGAAGCATGGTGACTCTGAGGGCCACCAAATAAGGAAGGACATCATTTTTCTCCCCTTATCTGTGTGCATGCCAGTGAGCAGAGCTACTTGCCTCATTCATGGCAGCATCCCCAAACATGGTGGGAAGAGACCTAGGTGCTGCGCTGAGCTGAGAGGCACAGCAAGGAAACAAACAAACACTCCTTTGCTTTTTCATATAACGTCTCCCCTTTCCTCTCTTACCTCCTCCTTCTGTTGACATACGTCATCTACCTAGAAAAGAGGACAGCTGTCCTTTCCCAAAGCTCTGGTGAACCTGCCCCACCCAGTATGACTGACCCAAGTTGGTGATTTTGATCTGTTGCCAACCTAAACTGGCTCCCCAGGCACCATTTGGTAGATTTCCAGGGGCCGTTTCCTTGCCAAGCATTCCTTTTCAGTGAGAGGACATTTTTTCATCCCTGATAAACAACCCAGGTCCTGACAGAGCTGAGAGGGTGCCTGGCTCTCCTCGCTGCTCCTCCACTTAGTTCCCCGCAGATCGGATCCCTGAGGCATCAGTGGCTCTGTGAATTCCTTTGTGAAACCCAAGACCCTTGTCTCTATAGGAGAGCAGAAATCCCCAAGGGGCTTTGTGGCTTGGGGCTGAGACATGCGGGGTTTATCTGAATAAAGATATCTTAACCTTACGGACCACGGATCTCATAATAACTTTGGGCTCCCTCTTCCCTGAAGATCAGCTGCTGGCACCAGGAGAGTCTGTGTTTGCAAACTTGCCTTTCTTGGATTCAGTTTAGAAAGCTCAGGCAGGCTCCTGCAATGGGAGAGACAGGATCACCTTGCAGATCATACTTGCAATCTACGGAGGAAAAAGGACAAGCCTGGGGTGGCAGGGGGTCAGGTCTGTTAAAAGGATCTGAACCCAGTCACTATTAGAGGACTAATAGTGTTTTTCCACTTCCCAGGAGGCTGGAAAGCCTCATGTGCCCTCCAAGTGCCAAGCTGGAGGATTCGAGGTGGGGCACCAGATAATGAATTCCATCACTTGGAAGGCAGAGGCAGGTTGATCTCTGTGAGCTCAAGGCCACCATGGTCTGCATAACCAGAGTCTGTCTGATAAAAGGGGTGGTCAAGAGAAATGAAATAGGCAAGAGGTTGTTTGTGTAGCTCCTCCCTCCCCTGGGTCCCCCCCCATTACCCTCCTTTCTGGGCATTTTATTTACAGTTTGGCAATTTCTTAATATATATTTCTTTAGGCTGGAGAGGTGGTTCTGTGGTTCAGAGTGCTTACTGACCTCTCAGAGGACCTGGGTTCAGAGTCCAGCATTTACATGGTGGCTCACAACCACCTATAACTCCAGTTTCAGGGTATCTAATGCCCTCTTCTGGACTCCTCAGACACCACCACACATGGTTCACACAAACTGATGCAGGCACACCCAAATTCACATAAAACAGTGGACTCATACATAAATCTTTAAAATATTTATTTTTCTTTAACCCAATTTGGAAGTGGCCTGGTAAGTTATCACCTCGTAGGAGCTTGGAAGACTCAAAAAAAAAAGTATCAAAAGGTATCACCAGTCGGTAGTGGCTTATGCCTTTAATCCCAGCACTCTGGAGGCAGAGGCAGGAGATCTCTGTGAGTTCAAGGTCAGCCTGGTCTATAGAGTGAGTTCTAGGACAGGCTCCAAAGCTACAGAAAAACTCTGTCTGGAAAAACTGAAAGGAAATAAAAAAACACCCCCAAAAACCACCCACCAAGTCATTCTGGTGGGATGAAATGTAGAAAGAATTTATCTACCTCTGCACTGGGGATGAAGCATGCCATGGCCCCTGAGGGCTAACAGTCAGATTTTCTCCTGAATATAGAGTGGCTGTCTGAGTCAGTGTGTGCTGTCTTTGTTCAGTCATCAGAATAGTCCCCACACCATTTCCAGCCCTGTTGAGTGACAAGGAAACAGGTCATGGTGAAGCTCTTCTGGTCTTATGGGTCTTTTCTCTAATCTGCTCAGCTGACCTCACATGGAGAGCACAATGCTCAGAGGAACCCAGTTCTGGGCATTGCTCTGGCTCCATGGAGCCTCTGAGAAATCACCTGAAGAGCAGACTGGCTGCTCCTTGGTTTGTCCCTTCCAAAGATCTATCCAGGGACCTTCTTCTCTGTAGTTTAAACACTCAGTGCCTAGTAGGTGCCAGGACTGCTGTAAGAGCTCAGTGTATAGAGAAACTTATACTCTTGCTTCAGGGGACTTTAGCCTGAGGGTTCCCGTCTTACTAAATTTTAAAAATTTTTTGAAACATGTAGAAAGATGAAGGAAAAGCACCTGCACCATCTTTCCCATTCATTGACTGTTCGTGATTATATTTGTCTTTGGTGCCATGTTCATGTGTACTTTTCCCCCACTTCTCTTGTTTTCTGGACGTGTAGAGCATGTACCTCATTCCTAAGTGCTCAGAATGCATCTTGGAAGAATAAGATGATTCTCTTTCTCTTGCAGTGATGATACACCTTTAAGTCCAGAACTCTGAAGGGAGAGACAGGTGGATCTTTGAGTTCAAGACCAGCCTGCTCTACAGAGGACGTTCCCAGGATAGCCAAGGACACACATAGAAACCTTGTCTTCAAGAACAACAACAAAAAAAAATAAAGAAAATAAAACAAAAAGAAGGGCTCTCTTTAGTTCAACCATACTATCTATAACGACACCCATAGCTCTCATTGTCCTAAGAACACATTTTTATGGCATTTGTGTTTAAGTGACAGGATCTAGCTGAGGCTGGTTCCTTTCAGTCCAGGACAATCTCTCTTGAACATTTCCTATCACAAAGCCTTGTGAAGAACCCAAGTTGTCTATCTGTCTCATGGAGTGTACTGCAGTCAGCATTTGTCTGCATGTTGCCTTACTGTCAGATTCGGGTTAGACATTTTTGCAAGGATTTTACACAAGTAATAGCTTATGCTTCTTGTTGCCATACTTTCAGAAATTTGTAATTTTGGGAAATGTGACAAGCATAGGTTAAATAAACACACACTGAATTGATAATCTGTCTCTGTATGACCTCTTCAGGAGCCACATGTTTCAAAAGGTGAAATTAGGGGACTGGATGGAACAATATCAAAGCCTTTTTTACCTTCCAAAAAACTAAAACTCAATAGGAGCAACCATAGAGGGAGAGTAGTAGCTCACACATATCCCATGGCAGGGACTTGTAACATGAGTTCTAATAAGTCTTAATCATAAAAGCCTGGGGTCAGACATAGGGGAAATGCTGAGAGATCAGAGAGAAGGAGCAAGCCAAAGCCACCTTTACCTCACTAGCTTTCCAGCAGAAAAGAGAGCAATTTCCTACTTTCTCCTACTTATATTCTTTTCTACACCCAACCATCTCACTTCCTGACTGTCTATACAGACCTCCAGACCTCTATGGTTAGCTAGTGGCAAGCTCCACCTTCTGATCTTCAGACATGCTTTATTTGTACAAACAAGATATCACCACAGGAACTTCATTTTTTCCCCTCTACCTTTGAACAACAGAAAACACTCAATAAATTGTTGTTGGTGGTGATATTGTTTCCTGGGATTAGGTTGAGACAAACAGACTAACTGCCAAGATTTAGGTAAGCCACAAGAAACTTTTGTCACAACACAGCTCTGATGTGCCAGAGGTCTTAGTCCTTGGTGTCTACCTGCCTGCCCCTGAGGATTTCAAAGGGCCTGGGGATAGACAATGCAGGAGATTTATAGTGAAGATGACTTGTGGCAGTCTCTGTTTTATTAGGAACCTCCAAACTGCACCGAGACACCTTTTTTTCTTTTTTTGCAATAATCTTTCTTGAAGTCAGAAATTGCATTTTGAAAACGATTTTCCCCTGCTTTAATAAATGGCTAAAAATGTGAAGATGGATTTTCTTCCTATGTTTGCAGTCACAGAAGCATTTATCTCTCATCCCAAGCAGACATCCTATGTAATTGGGTGTGTGAAATAATTCCAAAGTTGCATCAGAATCTTTTCAGAGCGTTGCTATGACAATTGGACTTCTTTTGAAAAATATAATCTAAAAAGAAAAAACCGCCCTTGCTTCATTACCAATTCTCCACCATCCACAATAAATTTGGCCTTTCAAAAAGTAGAGGGGGGAATAATTATGCAATCATATTTTAACTGATTCTTCTTGAAGTTGCAATAGATAGTAAAGTCAACCTGATCACAGACTGAGAATGATGATTCTTATGACTTTTGGTTTCTAAAACTATGGAAATTAGTGAAGAAACCTAAACAATAACCTATTGTTTGGAGAAAATATGAATTTTAATAGAAAGACACAGGCAACCCTTCTGACCCTTACCACAAAGGAAAGAGCTTTGGTGAGGCAGAGCAGAGACGATAAAGCAGAGGGTTGATCAAAATATCTAATTTGCAGTGTGGTGGTATAGCAGTAATCCCAGCACTCAAGAGAAAAAGGCAGGGAGAGCATGAGTTCAAGGTCAGCATGGGCCTCACAGTGAGACTTCTCCTTTTCCCCCTTCTCCTCCCCCTTCTCTTCTTTCCCTTTTCCTGTTCCTCTCTTTCTTCTCCTCTTTCTCCAGTCTTTGGGGGTACTTTGTAAACCTGAAAAGACAAACGTATTCAAAGTAAACACTATGGTTGGTTTGGTTTGGGCCCCAGCTTGATGTTGATTTTTTTTTTATTTTATTAGTTCAAATTAGGAACAAGCTTGCTTCAGATGTCAATCCCTTCTCTCTCTCCCTCCCCTCTTCCCCAACATCCCACCTGCCCCTAGCCATTCCCTCTCCACTCCCCAGACAGGATAAGGCCCTCAAAAGGGGGCTCCCCAAAGTCTACCACATCTTGATGTTGATATTTTAATGGATGTCAATAGAAAATATGGCATTTTAAAAAAACCTCAGATTGGAGGGGTATGGCTATGCTGTTCACTGGGCTGGTGAAAGCCTTATAACCATGTTTCTTTTTTGAAGTTTTGGAGAATCAGTGTTGCAGTCTATACATTGTGTTGCAATTATGGGTATTTATTTCTACTTTTTTGATTCTGTGATTTCCAAAGTTTCACTTAAATTTTAGACCCTATGGTGGTTTGAATAAAAATGGCTCCGATAGGCCCATAGGCCTAGAGGGAGTGGTACTATTAGGACATATGGCCTTGTTGGAGGAGGTGTGGCCTTGCCGAGGAAGTGGTCACTGGGGGTGGGCTTTGGGGTCTCAGATGTCCAATCCATATTCAATGTGGCAGTCTCTTCCTGATGCCTACAGGTCCTCATGTAGAGCTCTCAGCTGACTCTCCAGCACCGTGACTGCCTGTGCGCCACCACTTTTCCCACCATGATGGTAATGGACTAAACCTATGAACTGTAAGCCAGCCCAATTACATGTTTTCCTTTGTAAGAGTTGCTATGGCATTGTGTCTCCTCACAGCAATAAAACCCAACTAAGACAGAAGTTGGTACCAGGAGTGGGGTATTGCTGTGAAAAGCCTGACCATGCTTTTGTTTGGAGGATACGGACTTTGGGACTTTCAGATTAGAAAAGCAGTTGAGTGCTTTCAGTGGGGCTTAATGGACCATCCTAGTAGGAACATGGAAGGCAGTGGTGCTGAGGGTCATTTGAACTGTGAGGGGCTGGCTCAAAAGGTTTCTGAGGGAAGAATATTTGTATGTGGCTTAGAGATCATTCTTGTGATGTTTTGGCTAAGACCATGGCTAATTTTTGCCTTCATCTGTCAGTGTCTAAATTGAAGAATTTTGGATTAATGACATTGGCAGAAAAAAATCACAAAATAGTTTAGTATTGACTCTGTCATGTGGCTATTAATGTTCACTCTTATGCAGACCTAAAAATGGAGCAAGCTGAACAAGAAAAAACATAAAATGTACATCTTGAGGAAGAGGCACCAGGAAGTAGACTAGGGCAAAGTCCTGTGTTCAAAGAGATAAGCAGATTAAAGAAAAGCCTGGTATTAAATGTGGTAAAGGGAATGGTGATTTAGCATAAAGTTGTAATGAGACATTAGAGTGGGGGGGGGCATGGCAGGAGAGGGTGACCAAGGCAGAGGGACAAACATGCCAGGCAAACAGAGTTTAAGTGAGAGTTTTATTACAAGGGGGAGGGAGGAGGAAGGAAAGAGAAAGGAGATAAAGAGACACAGAGACAGAGAGAAGACAGAAGACAGAGACAGGAAAAGTCCTGTCTGCCCCAGGGAAACAATAGGAAGGAGAGAGCAGGGAGAACAGGAAGAGAGCAGAAAGAGAAGAGAGTGGAGAGAGAGAAGAGCCTGAAAGAGAGCAAAAAGAGCATAAGTGGGTGGAGGTCCTTCTTTTAAAGGGGCCCTTTGCACCTTTGTGCACACAAGTACTCATGGAACCCTGGGCTGACCAGAGTACTGCCTGAGTGCATTCTGCCAGGTGACAGGGCCAGGCTAGCATAATGCCTGAATCCTTATATTCCCACCTTTATTTATTATTAAAAGGTGAGGAGTTAGGTGTGGCAGGTTAGGGAATAAGGATGTCTTTAGAGTTCTCAAGACTACTTGCTGCTGACCTGGGGGCATCGGCCATCTTTGGGGGACCTGAGAAAGCTGGGGTGCTGCCATGTCCTGGTGTAGCTGGGTGTTTCATCACAGTTCAGGCTCTATGGAACTCTATGGCACCTCTTAAGACCTGGCAAGATGTTGGCAGAGCAGAGGACAAGGTTAAGTTTAGGAAAAATAATTTTTCTTAGGTCCTAGTACTTGGGAGGAGGAGGATCATAAGAGGAGGAAGAGGTTCCCCAGGGGTTCCTAAGATGAGGGAAGGGATTCCCAGGACCAGAGAAAGGTTAAATAATATTTATCTGGGATAAATCTGACCTGTTTGGGTGGGTTCAATTCAGCTCCCTGGAACTTGCAAGACTCCTTTGAGTTTATGAAAACATAAATTTTAGACATATTAGCAGTATACTCATGTCAGAAATGATTTGGTTGAAACCATTAATGTTCTTAAAACTGACAGATATCTTTAGCCCAATGAAAAGCACCTTAATTTTGAGCTTGCAGTTATGATTGTATAGTGGTATAGTATGGTGTTTAGTACTCTGTCAGAGTTGGATTCGTAGCTTATCAGAACTTTGTTGACTAATGTTAAACTATGAACAGTAGCATAATGAGAAAGAAAGAAATCTGATAACTTGCATTTGTATACCTTAAGTTACTTTGTTATACCTTAAAACGTTTGTTTAAACAAAGGAATGACAAGAGCTACACTGAAACCTACCAGCCATCAAACTACATCAGAGTTCTTGAGAAGGATGAAATTTTACCTGCATTAATGATTAGAGAACAGAGACTTCCTAGCTGGCCACATGGACAGCCCCCTCCATAGTTGTTGAGGTCAGAAGCTTTAAGGATGCCCACCTTCTGCTGATAGCATGGGACCTGTGGAGTAGGAGCTTGGCCCAAGCTACATGGAGAAAGTCAATTCCACTGTTCTCTTGTCCATGGTCCAAAGAGTCCTTTGCAGCAGTTGATGTGAAAGGCAGTGGCTAGCATTACAACCTTTGTGGGTGGAGTTTCTTCAGTGTCCAGTCTTCTTGGAGGAAACAGGGTGGTGCCAGCAAATGGCCTGTCTCTCTGTTATGAAAAGCTATTCAAGAAAACATTTTAAATGCCATATTCTCTATATCTCTGAGCATTTGAGGGCTGTTCATCTGTTTAGTATATCTCAGCAGACAAAATTCGTCTTTAGTTACTTGCCTTAAGCACTCAGGTGGCTTTATCACTGTAATTAATTAATCTGTACTTAGTATGGCTACAATGACATTAGGGTAGGGTTTGTCTGGAGAACTGGATTCAAGCGGAGAGGCTGTGGAGGGATGTTTTACTCAGAGCCCTCCAGCCTAACTGTAACTGGTTTTAACTTAGTAGGCTAGATTTGTGCCTGTAAAGGACAAAGTAGTAGAGAAAAATCTCCCTTAATAGAAGCTTAACTGTTGCAAAAAGCTTACAGGATGGACTGGTTGGTGTAAATATTTTGTTAATTTGAAATAGACCTTTATAGCCTTAAATGTTTACCGTCACTTAAAGATACATAGCAATTTAGAAATATTTGAAATTTAGCACAGTTAAATTTAAGTTGCATATAGAGTTAGCTTACATTCACGTACATAAAGTTATATTTAAATCATCTGTACAGAGACACAAAGATATATTAAACAAGACTGGGTAAAAGTAAGAAGAATGGGAGAACCAGAGTGTAATCTCTGATTTGCACGTTGTAGTGAACATACAAGACATTTAAAGATACAGAGTAGACTTGAAACTACCAGATCCACTGCAGATGCAACAGGCAAGGTTTTGTTTTTGTTTTTGTTCATTTTGTTTTCCATGAAATGTGTGCCCTACCAGGCCCTGGAAAGGCACACCATTACACAAACAAGCCATGCGCAACTGAGCCAGTGAAAGAAGAAATTAGAGACAAAAAATAAAAGGCAAAAAAGTAAATGAACTATGTCTGACAGCAGGGTTTGTTGGCAGAAGCTAGCTAGACTGTCCCTCCGCCTAGACTGAGGGAAGGGAGTGGGCAGGCCTATAGCTAGGCCACATGGTCAAGATGGCAGGGCCAAACACATTCCTGTCCAGCAGAGGTTAGAAAGTTTTGTGAATAATTTTGTTGGCTTTTTTTCTCCACAAGTGAGACAGAAAGATGTGTGAAACCAATAGGATATTGGAGTCCAAGGGGCACAACATCCAAAAAGACCGCTGTAGGTCTGAGAAATGAATGCACCTGTCGGTATTGACTGTGCTAAGGTACAAAACCCCAAAATCTCATTCGTGGGGAAACAATGAAAAATACAAAACTCTCAGAGCATTCTGAGCAGATGCTGTCTCGGGCCAACCCACTGTCAGTCACTGGCATCTGCACGGAGAAGAAACAGGGAAGTAGCCCAGATGGATGGAAAAGAGGAACTCGCCATCCCAGGCTGAATGGCTTGTCAGAGTTCGAACAGGAGAGAGAGAGAGACATTTGACCCAGAAGCAAAAGATTTAGTGAAACAGGACATTCCCAGGTGGAAGGAGGATTCTGCTCTGAGAAAGGCTTAGCCATGATGGGAAGTGGCAGGATGCTGCTGTGGCAGGAAGAGTTTTAGCATGCTGGGTGGAGGAGGAAAACAGACAAGTGAAGAAGAGCAGAGGCCACACCTCCAACTAGGATCACTGGAGAAGGGAGGGTGCCAACAAGCATGTACCTGGTTTGATATGTGGGGCTCAGCTTCCATGAGAGAGGTAGAGGGGATCCAAAGCCTATAATCTCCAGCATCCCAGAGACTAAGGGAGGATCAGATACAATTGGCACCGGCTGATTTTGTGGTTGGTTGAGCACAAATCAGGTGCCAGGGCTCCCCCGGAGCCCGAGAGACACATGGTCACCCAGTACTGGGATTTTCACAGGGCCAAAAAGGTGAGAGACCACAGTCTTGATACGAATCCTAACTCATGGAAGCATGGACAGAAGTAGAGAATGAGAAGCCGGCTTACTAGACATGGCGGTGGTGGTTGGAAGAATCCAGGGATCCTTAGCTGGAAAAGTGACCTAGTTGAAGGTTACAGGGTCCCGGCATATCTCAGACTACCATGGGCAGGAACAAATGCCAGGAAAAACCTGCCCAATCACATGCACCGATGTTAGCATAATGTTGGCATTTCCTCCAAGAAGACTGGACACTGAAGAAACTCAACCCGGAACTTGCTTCATAAATGGCACTGAGCAATCCTGCCTTTCACCTCAACTGCTGCAAAGGACTCTTCAGATGGTGGACAAGAGGACAGTGGAACCAACTTTCTGCATGTTGCTCGGGCCATTGGAAGGCAAGTCTTCCTAAAGCTCCTAATCCACAGGTTCCATGCTGTAAGCAGAAGGCAGGTGTCCTAAAAACCTCTGACCTCAACAACTGTGGGGAACTGGGGGTGTGACTTTCTGTGGATGTACAGATTAAGATACATGGGACTAGGATAATATAGGTTAATTTTATTCGGGGAGAAATCACATACATGAGAAACCGATAACCCACAAATTCCAACTCCATGAATCAACACCCAGCTGCCCTCTATGACCTGACCAGAACCAAGAGAGAGCAAGTCTGTCCAGGACCCCAGAGCAAATCTCACACACTCATGTACGCACCTGCGACCATGCCCAAATGGGCATGGTCAGCACCACAGGTACCTCTGGTGCTGTCCATGCAGTCAACTAGTAAGACCTTCTTCTCTCATCATTAACTCAGGTAAAATTTTATCCTTCTCAAGAACTCTGATGCTTTGGACAACTGTAGCTTTTCCAGTTGTAAACAGCAGCCAAGGCTCCAACTGTCACAAAACAGATTTCAGGAACAGGTATTTTAGGGTTTATCCAGGTGAAGATAGGAAAGTGTAAGGTGCATGAAGGTCTGAGGATAAATGCCAGTTATGAAGGTCTGAGAACAGAAAGGTCTAAAATGGTAACATAAGGTGTATGAATTCAAGTTATGAAGGTTTGAGGATAAACGGCTTAAGTGATGACAAAAAAGGGATTTGAGACATCCAAATGAGTGAAATATGTTCCAGATTTTTCTCTCTTTCATTATGCTACTGTTCATAGTCCAGGCAGATTTCTGTGAGTTCGAGGCCAGCCTGGTCTCCAGAGTGAGTGCCAGGATAGGCTCCAAAGCTACACAGAGAAACCCTGTCTCAAAAAAAGAGAAAGAAAAGAAAACTCTGATGCTTTTGACAACTGGTAGCTTTGCCAGCTTAAAGCAATAGCCAAGGCTCTAATTGTCACAAAACAGATTTCAGGAACAGGTATTTTAGGGTTCATGTCTTCACAAACTCAAAGAATTCTTGCAAGTTCCAGGGAGCTGAATTGAACCCACCCAAACAGGTCAGATTCACCCCAGATAAATATTATTCAACCTTTCTCTGGTCCTGGGACTCCCTTCCTTCATCTTGGAACCCCCTTGGGAACCCTCCCTCATCTTATGATCCTCAAGTACCAGGACCTAGAAAAAAATTTTCCTAAACTTAACCTTGTCCCCTGCTCTGCCAACATCTTGCCAGGTCTTAAGAGGTGCCATAGAGTTCCATAGAGCCTGAACTGTGATGAAACACCCAGCTACACCAGGACATGGCAGCACCCCAGCTTTCTCAGGTCCCCCAAAGATGGCCGATGCCCCCAGGTCAGCAGCAAGTAGTCTTGAGGCAGGGGAGAGCTCTCCCCATCCTTATTCCCTACCCTGCCACACCTAACTCCTCACCTTTTAATAATAAATAAAGGTGGGAATATAAGGATTCAGGCATTATTCTAGCCTGGCCCTGTCACTTGGCAGAATGCACTCAGGCAGTACTCTGGTCAGCCCAGGGTTCCATGAGTACTTGTGTGCACAAAGGTGCAAAGGGCCCCTTTAAAAGAAGGACCTCCACCCACTTATGCTCTTTTTGCTCTCTTTCAGGCTCTTCTCTCTCTCCACTCTCTTCTCTTTCTGCTCTCTTCCTGTTCTCCCTGCTCTCTCCTTCCTATTGTTTCCCTGGGGCAGACAGGACTTTTCCTGTCTCTGTCTTCTGTCTTCTCTCTGTCTCTGTATCTCTTTATCTCTTTTCTCTTTCCTTCCCCCTTGTAATAAAACTTCTCACTTAAACTCTGTTTGCCTGGCATGTTTGTCCCTCTGCCTTGGTCACCCTCACCTGCCATTGTCTCCCACCAAGGACCCCCTCGAACATTATGCTAACAGTGATCTTGAGGCAAGATCCTACCCAGCTAAATATCCAGCTTGTGAAAAGGATGTAAAGAAAAGTTTAGGGCTGGTACATGCTTTTAGTTCCAGAACTCAGGAGGCTGAGGCAGGCAGATTTAAGAGTTCAAGGCCAGCCTGGTCTACAGAGAAAGTTCTAGAACAGCCAAGCTTAGAGAGTGAAGCAAACCATTGAAAATAAAGCTGGTGAAGATGTAATTGAATGAGGGGCTATATTTTAGCCCCAGAAAGCAGTAGAACTTGTCAGCTTCAGCCTCATGGTTCTGGCTTTAGAATCAACGATACAAGAAAGGGATTATGGAATCTCCTTCTGCAACCAAGGAATGCCACCGAGGTCACACATGTGTCAAAGGAGTCACTGCATGGAGGCCTAACCTGGTCATTGCATGAAGCTATGAAGCTGAAGCCTGGAGTGCCTCCAAGACCCATTGTTGGAGATGCCAGAGCCATGGGATACCTGCTGAGGAAAGCTGCTAAAAGGGAGTAGAACAGTACAAGTGAGAAAAGTGTGTGTAGTCAAAAAAGCTGAAAAGAGTTGGAGATCTGAAGGGCTGTTTGACATCAGACATGGAGATGAAGAGTGTAAAGCCAACATGGAGAAACAAGGTTCCTTGTCTAATCAGACAGACAGACAGACAGACAGACACAGACACAGACACAGACACAGACACAGACACACACACACACACACACACACACACACACACACACACACACCATAACTTCTGCATTCATTCACTCTCCTTGACTTGGGGCAGATGAAACATGTTACAGTGAGATTTCCCTTAAATAATTCAGCAAAACTATAAACCCCACAAGGAGAGAGGAGTCTGTTTCTTGTGAGGAGTAAAGTATCTG